GAGTTAGAAACATCGATGAGAGAGAAACATCGATCAGCTGCCTCCTGCACACTTCCCACTGGGGATGTGCCCGCAACCAAGGTACATGCCCTTGACCGGAATCGAACCTGGGACCCTTGAGTCCGCAGGCCGATGCTCTATCCACTGAGCCAAACTGGTTAGGGCAGGATTTACTATTCTTATTATTTATTCTTTTTAAGAAAAATGAAAGGGAACTGGAATTCAGAGAGGTTGAGAGACTCGAACCTCGGGTCAAAGAGCTCAAGGTGACAGCTCGGGGTTTGAACCTGTGTCTATGAGTGTCCCTCGAATACTCTAGAGCAGTTCCCCCGGCTTCTTCCTGTGGACATACACACATATTGGTAATGAGGATTTATTTTATTACCCTCTGCAAGTAATTGCATCATTTCACATGGTTAAAATTCTACTGCATCTACAGTTTTTCATTTAACAGTATAGCCTAAATTTTTCCCATGACAAAAGTCTTTTATAACCATGCTTTTTTATAAAAAGTCTTTTATAAACATACTAAAGGCCTGGTGCACAAAATTTCATGCACGGGTAGGGTCCCGAGGCCTGGCCAGCGATCAGGGCCAATCGGGGCCTTCCGGCTGCTGGCCAGAATCTTCCTTCTGGCTGCCAGGTGCTGGCCGGGCCTTCCTTCATTCTGTGCTGTCCCCTGGTGGTCATCAAGCATGTCATAGCAAGTGATCAAACTTCTGGTCTCCTGGTCAAACTCCTGGGGGGCACTTTGCATATTAGCCTTTTATATATATAGATTTTCTAGAGAATCATAATTTACTTAACTGTTTCTCTATTTGGACACTTAGGGCACATGGGCAGTTCCAATCTTTTAGTGTTTAAAAAAATGTGACAGTGAACATTTTTCTGCAGAAAACTTTGCCTGACTCTCCAGTGATTTCCTTAGGGCATATTTCTGGAAATGGGTGAAAGGTGGTTAGAAGTCAGTTTATTTTTTGTTAATCCTCACCCGAAGATATTTTCCCATCGATTTTTAGGGAGAGTGGAAGAGAAAGGGAAAGACAGAGAAACATCGATGTGAGAGAAACACATCCACTGATTGCCTCCTGCACACGCCTCAACCAGGGCTCAGGCCAGGGAGGAGCCTGCAACCAAGGTACGTGCCCTTGACTGGAATCGAACCCGGGACCCTTTGGACCTCGTGAGGGATGCTCTATCCACTGAGCCAAACTGGCTAGGGCTAGAAGTCAGTTTAAACAAATTGCCCAGTTGTCCCAGTAGAAACAGTTTCTATTTCCGCCAGCATGGTACGCAGCACGTGTCTCCGGGGACTCACACCTGGCTTTGATGGAGTCCCTTAACTTTTCGTGGAGAAGAGATTACTTAGAGGTTTTTGGTTATAATCAAACTTAAACAACAAGCTAAGCAAGCTTCACTATTACTGTTTCCCAAGTCTTTTCACTTTGCCTTTCTCTGGCTCCCTCTTGACTTGCTCTTTTTTGGAAAGAATACTTTCTCACTGCAGACAAGTTTAAAACATATATCCAACATTTAGAAAATAATAATTCCATGTAAATGTATGTTTCCTTGTCTCTCAGCCTCTCTTTTGTTCCCTTTTTAAAAAATTAACTCAGTGAATACATATTTATTGAGCATCTACTATGCACCAGGCACAACCCCAGGCCTGAGGAATTTGAGGCGGAACAGAACAGAAGCGTGTGGCCCGGCAGGGGAGCCCAGACAACGGCTGACACACTTATTTAGTGTGATTTGTGCGAAGAACCAGTTCAGGTGCTGTGACTGGGAGGGTCCACCTTGGTCTGGGAGTACTCCCTCCTCCCTCTCCGCTCCCCCCCCCCCCCCCCCCCCCCCGGCTGCTCTCCTGGGCCTGCTCTCTGGGAAGCCCCCAGCTCACCCTAGGTCTGCCAGGTGACTCTGCTCCTGGGCCCTGAGCTCCGGCGGCCCCTCCTCTGATGCTTCTCTGTGTCCGGGCTGCTTCTCGGGCGTTTCTGGGGCCGGCGAGGGCTCCCTCCCACTGCCCATCCCTGCAGCATCTGGAAACACGACCTGGAACAAAGATGCTTTTGTGAGCACCCATTCTGGAGGGATACCCCCCACTCCCTGGGCGTCCTCCTGGCCTCGGGGACAGGGAGGTTCTGTGCCTGCCTGGGGAGTGTGTTGGAGAGAGGAAGGGCGGAGACAAGAAGCAGGGAGAGAGAGGCTGGGTGCAGAGCCAGCCGAGCTGAGCGGCTGTCGGTCAGTACTCGGCTCTGACATAAACCTGGGGTCCAGAGTAGTACCTGGGCCGAGGGTCTCCTGCCCAGGAAGGCTTGACAGAGCACCCGGGGGACTTGACCCTCACAAGGTCCCAGCGAGGCTTCCACAGTTTCCACCATTTCAGAGCTCAGGCTCTGAAACGGGGCTGTGGTGCCCCTCTTGGTCTATCACTCCTAGCTGGGTGACCTTGAGCAGTGACATAGATGCCCTCTTGGTCTGTCACTCCTAGCTGGGTGACCTTGAGCCAGTGACATAGAGCCAGCTCCAAGCCCCACTTGAGTCAGCAAAATCCAGACAACCCAGCTCATCCATCACTTGATGATAAGTGACATAAGATTTTGATGTGAGCCAACACTAAGGGCGCCTACCGGAAGGCAGGGCCTGTGCCAGGTACCCAGGGATGTCACCCAGTTGGTCCTCACCATGACACACATGAACAATGGGGCTCAAAGGGGTGCAGTGCCATGCCCAAGGTCACGCAGCTGGTTGAGTGGGGGAGCTGGACCCCATGACTGTGCTGTTGTAAAAATGAATTGGGGGAAAAAAATGAATTGGGGGGTGAAGGAAGCCCTGAACGTTTGCCCCAGACTCCCTTCTAGGCTCCCTCAGGCCCTGTCCTGCCCCCAAAAGAAGCCATGGTTTATATCAAGGGCTACAGAGAGGGGACAATACTTCACCCAAGGGAATGTTGACCTTTTTTATGGTGACATTTTGGGCTCTGGGGAAACTAGATAGGAAGGTGAGTCTTCTCTGTGCTCTCAGTTTGTGCCACTTGACGCTAAAGAAATTGATGGAAGGAGGCTGTGGAGTGCGTTGAAGGCTTAGGACGCAGGCTGGGGGCTGGGGAGGGGCCCGGATGGAAACCTCCAGCAGTTGTCAGGGGAATAAAGGTTACAAGGGGAGCTGGAGGCACCTAGTAGAATAAGCAATTCTTGGTTTGCTCCTGCAGCATCTCTCTGGCAACAGAAGCCAGCATCCTTTTTATGGGAATCTTTCCTTCTCTATTCTGTCAGTGGGGCTCAGTGGACCTCTGGCTCCATTATGCCAGGAGATCCAGGCCACTCTGCCTGCCATGGTGGCTGGTTCTGAGATAAGCATGTGAACACAATCTGGGCCAACGGCAGTGATGCCAGACTTCCCTGAACCCTTGCAGAGGCTCTCCTCCTGCTGGGGATGCTAAAGTCAGAAGACGTAAGTGAGGAAGATGTACGCCTGGAGTGGCCAGGGCAATACTTGCCATCTTGCAGGGAGAGCCTGCCTGGGAATGGTACAGAGGAAGGCAGCGCCTAGAGACACTTGTTCGGCACCTTGATCCAGCCATACCTGAAGTCCACTGATGGATTTGTCAGTTACCCAAGCGGATGTGTTCTCCTTCCTGCCTACTCCCATTTGAATTGGGTTTCGTGTCACTTATGACTGGGTCTTAATTGAAGCAGTTGCGGGAGGAAGCCAGGGCAGGGAAAGGGAAAGGTGTCCTTGGGAGGAGAGTGGTCAGAACATGAGGTACAGGTCCTTACCTGGTTGACTCCTGATATGGCAGGCTCAACACCAGCACTCTTTCTGGCAGTCCTCAGGCCAGGACTTGGCTGGGCCCCTGGAGACTTGATCGTATCCTCCATGTACATCTGGGCGTTTCTGTTGTCCATTGTGCCAAGGCCAACGAGGGTACCACAGGGGAAATCCAATCAAAGTTCTACCTAGCCCCTTACCTAGCCACCTCTCCAGGGCTCTACATGCAGCCTGTAATGTAGGGACCCTGCTCAGGGGAAGAGGCCTGGCCTGGCACAGGAGGGGCACACAGCAAAACCAGAGAGGTAACCACATGCAACTTACCCACATGTTTTCCCTACTTCTCACAACAACTCTGAGGGAAAGGGGACTCTAGGAAGCAAAGTGACTTGGCCAACCTCCAACACTAACTAGGTCACAGAGCAGGAATCGAACCATGGCCTGTTGCATCCCCTACAGCAAACCCGTGCCCTTTCCCCTACAGCAGCATTTCCTAATGGTGTCCTTTGGAATATGCGTTGCACAAGGTGTACTGCAAGGAAAGGGTTCTTGTAGGCCAAATGTGTTTGGAGTGTGCTGAGTGGAAATTAAATGGGCTCTGTCCTGCAGGACTTGTCAGAGCCTTTAATATACTAGCATGCATTTTAAAGAGAGCCCAAGAACATCACGGTTCCTGCTGCTATAGATGAAAACTCTAAGTTCTTCTTGGGGCTAAGGAACAGGAGTTGGGGCCATCTGTCTGTGGGGGACCCTAAGGTCTCCAGTGACAATATGTAGTTCATCAAAGCACCCCCACCCTGCCCTGGACACGTCCCTTTCTAAAGCCTTTCTGAGCGTCTCTCCTGCCTCTCCCATCTAACTTCACTTTCTGCTGTACCGGCCTCCCCTACCCAAACATTCTGCTTTAATCTAAGCAGACTCCTGCAATCCTAATGCCACAGACCCCCAGCCTCTGTGCCCGCCTCCCACTTCTCGGTCTCTCCAACACCCCCCACCCCATCCTTCAAGCTCCTACTTCTTTTCCAAGCTTCCAACCACCTCAGCCCTCTCTCCAGCCTCTGAATTCCTTTGAGGCAACATCAACACCATTTCTATGGGCACATCATGGACCCCTTTTCTAGGGGTGAATCCTACCCCTCAGTGAGACCATGTGACCTTGAAGCTCTTGATGGGATTTCTTCCACTTTAAATCACGGCTGGCCAGCCAACATCCATGGAGGGACCTTCTATGTGCTGGCCACGTTTGCTATCCACCCTGTGAGGTCACTGTGTTGGTCCCGTGTCAGGCCCCCCAGGAACGGCCTGAGGAGCTGCAAGATCTCACGTGCTGGATCTTTAAAGGAATGCCAGGAAACCAAGGCTCAGAGTAGCTCAGTGTCTTGTCCAATACCACATGGCTGGCCTGACCAGCATGGCTCAGTGGTTGAGCATCAACCTATGAACCAGGAGGTCATGGTTCAATTCCCAGTCAGGGCACATGCCCGGGTTATGGGCTCCATCCCAGTGTGGGGTGTGCAGGGGGCAGCCGATCAATAGTTCTCTCTCATTGATGTTTCTATCTCTCTCTCCCTCTCCCTTCCTCTGTGAAATCAATAAAAATATATTTGGGGGGGGAAAATACCACATGGCTGGCCTGCAGAGGAACTGGATTCAAAGCCAGGCCCGTGTGACTCCCAAAACTGCTTATCCCACCAAGTTATCTTGCCTCGAAAGCAGCTTACGCCCATGCAATCCACAATTGTCTAACGGACATGTGCTGGTGCTGGGCACAGTGCCAGGCCTTGGGAATGCACCAGGTGTTCTGGTGGCTCACACATTTCTACCAGGAGCACAGAGGAGGAGCCCCTAACAGCTGCTGACCAAAACGCCCCCTCCCTCCCTCTTTCCTCCCAACCTTGCCTGCCCCCCAGCCCTTCCTGCAATTAGGCTTGCACCCCCACAATGCAAGCAAGACCGCTGCTCCCAGGTGACCCCGCACCCCAGGCGGCAGCTCGAGGCTCCCAAAGGCCCTAGGCTCTCACTTGGCGTGAAGAAGTCAGTATTGTGACCAAGTCCCTCTCTCTTCCCTCGGAGCTCCTCTCTCCTCCCTGCCTCTCTCCCATCAGGGTTCCCTAAGCATTCCCAGGGGTGGGTGACCCATGGGGGAAACCTCCCGCCAGGCCCCTCAAACACGCCCCCCATTGTTCACGCTCCTACCTCAGAAAGCGCAGGCTCAGTCTCGGAATTCTCAGGCCCCAGTATTCCACCAGCTGAAGTTTGGGGGGCGGGGCAGGGGCCCCAGAGGGTGTCCCCATCGGGAGCTTACAAACCCAAACCGAGAATCTGAGCAAGAAGGGGAAGCCCCACCCTAGCAGAAAGGCATGGAACCTGAAGACAGAATCGAGGGGTGTGGTGGCAAACATGGACTGTGCCCACCCCACCCCCCAGCTCATTCAGGCCATTTGGTGCCCCTTTTCCCACAGCTGTGTTGAGATTTAATTCACATCCCATACACTCACTCGTTTCAAGTGTACAGTTCAATGGCTCTTAGTATATTCACAGAACTGTGCCAGCATCACCCTTAGAGCATTTTGTCACCCCAAAAAGAAAGCCCACACCCATTAGCCATCACCTCAACCCTCGCACACCCCCCCGCCACCACAATAACTCCAGTAACCATCTGCCATTGTAAGAAATTATTACAATAACATTGACTGTTTTCCCTAAGCGGTACATTACATCCAGACAACTTCTTCTTCAAATAACTGGAGGTCTGTACCCCTTATTCCCCTTCCCCCTTTTCACCCATCCCCCCACCCCCTCCCTCTGGCAACCATCAGTTTGTTCTCTGTATTTATGAATCTATTTATTCATTTGTTTTGTTTGTCAGATTCCACATATCGACTTTGTTCTTTTCCAAGATCCTTTTGGCAGCCTTGTAAGCGTTTTCCCCATCTGAGAAAGGGGACATTTCTCTTAGAAACGTCTAGGACGGTAGGAAAATACCACAGAGAAAGCTGACGAGTGACCTGCGATATATATTTCTGGAGGCCAGCAAGGAAGCTGCTCACAGCAAACCCGCACCTTGGCCCTGCGCCTACCACAAAGCAGCCCGAGGAATCGCGGCAAGATGAGGCACCTGCTCACCTCCTCCCACGGGGGAGGGCGCTGCTGAGCCCCTCCTCTGCCTGGCGGGCCGAACTGAGTTCGTTGGCTAAACACTGTAGGTAACCGGTGAGGAGGCGGTAGGTCCGGTTATTCTCAGCAGCAGAGGTTTAGGAAGAGATGTCAGGAATGAGTGTCCAGCCTGTGGCTGGGGTTGGAGGATAAGGCAAGGGACTGTCTGACCTCCAACTAGACGGCAGTGCCGTCTCCCGGGGCTTGGCACTCTTCCAGGGGCCTCCACTACACACTGAGGATAACAATCCGTGCACTGCCTACCTCACAGGGCTTATTGTGTCAAGACCACCTCTGTCAATAAACAAACAAACAAACAAAAAATAAAATTACAAACAGCAGCAGCAACAACAAAAGATCGCCTCTTTCGGGGAGCCTTCCCTGACTGTCCCAGGCTGAGAGGGGTCTCTTCTCTTCGCTCCCTCAGCCCCTGGGAGTTTCCTCCATCAGGGCACTTCTCACTCTGCATTGCAACTGACTTTTCCCCTGTGTCTCCCACGGTATTTGAGCTCCACGAGGGCAAAAGCAGGGTGGGCCTCATCTCTGCGGCCCCATCACCGAGCACCGGGCACCTGGTAAGTGCTCAACGGCCCTCGTCTTTGTTGGCGGGAACTGAACCGAAAGTGCTCTGAGTACACTGTAAGCCGTGCTGCCCCGGCACAGCGTGGCGGTTCCCTTTGGGGTTCATGAGCGGAAGGTTTCCTACCTGACACAGCCACCGTGGGCCACCGTGGGCCACCATCACACGGCTGGGCCTGCAGAGTGACGGATGGGACTTGGTGCTGATAGCAGGTATCACCCCACAGTTCAGCTCTTACAAGCTGGACCGAGACATTCTCAGAGCTGGAAGGTCCTCGGACTCCTTGGGTCCAGGGGCTTTACTCCTGGGATACCCGATTTTCCCCTGTGTTGCCGGGCACATACGGATACAAGGAGTCAGAGTGTGAAAGAGAAGACACGGTGGCCCAGCCCCAAACTGGCATTGGGATGCAGCCAATTGAACACACACACACACACACACACGAGACACACTCATTCATTCACTGAGCTCTTACTCTGTGCCAGGCCCTGTGCTGCTGAATCCAGGGATCCACAGGTGGCAGGGACAGGTTCCCACATCCAAGAAGCTCTGGGTCTAGTCAGTGGAAAAGCAGACGTAAACAGATGCTGAGAACGGGAGGGGATAAGGTTGTCCATGTGGGAGTGTGCCCTCCCCTCCCCTCTCCTCTCAATAGCTCTCCCCTCCACCTTCTAAGGGAAGTTCTGTCGTTGCCACCCCAGAACGTTAAGAAAACGAGAGGCAGGGCCAAAGAAGTAGGAGGAAGAAATCTCATCTTCTAGGTCATTGCTCAATGTCTCCTTGGCTGTGGAGAATCAGGGTAATGAGCAGAGTTGAAATTAGAGGTTAAGTCAATTCACCTAAAGAGAGGTTAACGTCACACCCTCCAGAATGGCTATTACCAAAGAAAACGGAAAATAACAATTATTGTCTGGCCAGCGTGGCTCAGCGGTTGAGCATTGACCCACGAACCAGGAGGTCAATAAAAATACATTTTTTTAAAAAAGAGAGAGAAGCCCTAACCGGTTTGGCTCAGTGGATAGAGCATCGGCCTGCGGACTGAAAGGTCCCAGGTTCGATTCTGGTCAAGGGCATGTACCTTGGTTGCGGGCACATCCCCAGTAGGGGGTATGCAGGAGGCAGCTGGTCGATGTTTCTCTCTCATCGATGTTTCTAACTCTCTATCCCTCTCTCTTCCTCTCTGTAAAAAAATCAATAAAATATATTTAAAAATAAAAAATAAAAATAAAAATAAAAAAGAGAGAGAAGCCCTAGCCGTTTTGGCTCAGTGGATGGAGCGTCGGCATGCGGACTGAAGGGTCCTGGGTTCACTTCCAGCCAAGGGCACATGCCCGGGTTGCAGGCTCAATCCCCAGTAGGAGGCATGCAGGAGGCAGCCAATCAATGAGTCTCTTTCATCAT